TGTGAATACCTGCAGTAAAACTTGTTGGAAAAGGCAAGCTTCTTAGGTAATGCTCCACAAAGGCCATTTGGATTTTCATTAAAAAATAATACTTGCTATGATTTCTTCTGACCTGCCTCCCCTATGCTAGTCATAGCAATGAGCACGTCACAAGTGACATTTTTTCAACTGCACAAATACGTGCTGGAAGTCAGGTTCAAGTCTTTCTTACTCTAAGCATCTGTTTTTTCTTTTTTACTGATGACTGATCTATATTAAGAATAAATTTTTGGACCTGGTACACAAGAGATAGAACATAAGAAAACTGTCACAGACTATCAGTAATCCTAGGAAGAAAATGGGAGGTGGGAGAGAAAACTCCAATTCATACATACATCCTAATATTCTATTATATAAAACAAAAAGTTAGGGCCATATTGAGTATGTCAGCTAATGTGGCCAAAGGTATCAGGGGTTAGCACCAAGGCTGTCTGTCCTTTGGTTTTTTTTGAACAGCTTAATAGGGAGTCCCCATGGTGTAGGCATCAAGTAAACCAGGGAAGAATTGTGGAACGTTTTCTGTTCGTTTTTCTCCCATAGAATGTTATGAAGGTTTCATCCCCAAATCTAAGGAAGCAAAATAACGATTTCTAGAAAACACAGATGAGATGAAGCCAAAGTACTATTTATACAAACACGAAATAGCATCAACTCATTCTGAATGCAGCTGAAATAAGCTATCTTTCTTGAGAATAATGAAACTTGAGACAAAGATGTTTTTCCTTGCTTACGGGAAAGAATTTAGAGAGCTAAAATTCATCCCTTCTATACTTGCAGCTTCACTTATGTTGACCCGATCTAAGAGTGGCGACAAGCATGAAAATTGTCAAATGGAATCCTGTTTGTGGTCTAGAGGGAGAGGAAGAGAACCTGAACCCACTACTGTTTCTGACCATGCTGAGAATATATATATTAATCTTTCCAAAGCCCTGTGTCCTTTGAAGGTGATTGATCAGTGAATTGTCAAGGTAAATTTTCGTCCACTATCCTTCAATTTTAGATCCAATAAGATGATTTCAAAAGAATAGAACTATACAGCAAAATGATCTAAGAAAAATATTTCTACCGATGTTGAGAAAAGATACCAGGCATGGCAAGAATAGAAAGGAAAAACATATTGACAAGGAGACCAAAAACTAGAAAGACAAAGAGTAATGGCAACTTTGAATGCCAAGAATAAACTGCCCATGTTGGTGTCCTAAAAATTACAGGCAGTTTAAATTCAATGCAAAAAGAATTACATAAACATCTAACCATCACATATCCTTCACTACTGACTTTCCAGTGCATTTTCCGCTTCTGTTTTTCCTCTATACTCATACCATATTCCAACTGGACTCAACACGGTAAGCAGAATGACTTCAGGCTTTCTGGATATGGCAAATACCTACAATGTCTCCTGCTGCCACAGTGCACTTTAGCTGTCTCCTTGACTTGACATTTCTGAGACTTGTGTGTCTATCCCAATCCAGTGAGCCTCATCCTATCAATAGGGGATTCCCATCCTGAACTCGCCAGGATTCTTTGAGTCTCCTCTCACTTTTCCGTCATGCACTGCCTAAGGACATTTCAGTCATTGACAGACCAGTCATACAAAAATAGCTCCATAAGATTATAATACCATATTTTTATTGTAACTTTTATATGTTTAAATATGTCTAATTACACAAGTCCATTGTGTTACAATTACCTACAGTATTTGGTACAATAGCGTACTATTTAGGTTTGCATCCTTGCTCCTAGGCTACAAACCTAAATAGTATGCTACTGTACCAAATACTCTAGGCAATTGTATATGGCAATTGTATATGGTATATGTATATGGTATTATACAGCTGAGGTATAAGGTAGGCTATACCATCTAGGTTTGTATAACAAAGCTGTGATATTGCACAAGGACAAAGCTGTCTAATGATGCATTTCTTAGAACATATCCTCTTCATTAAGCAATGCATGACTGTATTTGTAGTAAAAAGTTTCTGTGCTCGTGCTCCTCCTCCACTGAATTCAGAGCACAGCTTCTACTAAAGAAATTCTCTTCACAAAAATTCTTTTGGATCTACAATTTGTTGTACCGTTTACCCAGTTCATAGCTACCCTATTTTGAAATTTGTCTTCTGGCAACTCCCACTAAAATTTCACATCTATTTTTTCTTAGTGCCTTATTCAGAACTTCTAATTCCACATCTTGTTATACAGTAGTCAGCATTTTCTAATTTATGATAGTGCAATTTGGTGAGAATCCAAATACCTTAAGTCTTGGAATATTGTTACATTCATCTTTTGTGACGTGGATATGGCTAGAACTGGAATCCTTCACTTTCTATTTTTTAAAATTTTTTGCTTTGTATAATTTTTGTATTTTACTATTAGTTTTATTTATGATATTGGATTATAATATACCCATATTGGAAGTCAATATACTAGGCATAATATAATTTGCGTGGGGATTTTCCAATACACTTTTGGGTTGATCTTATACAAAAGGTATCAAGAGTCCACAAGAAACAAAGTTACTTATTAAAATCTATGAAAAAAATCTGCTTCTCTTAAAATGATCACCATGATTACTGCAAAATGTGTATCATTATTGTCATAGTAGTGGAATAATTCAAGAGAAAGTAAGGAAATATGCACTCATAAGGAAGGAGGTTAACCTTATTATCTGTGAAATGTGTTGCGGTATCACATTGCCTATACACATGCTTTCAATGTTCATTATAACAAATATTAGGATTTTGCAGGCCAGACTGTCTTCTAAAGTGACTACTCACTATCCAGAGAACCCACAACTAATAAAAGAGCACCCTGGTATAATATTGCTGGGAGTGTCAATTTCTCATGAACTTTAGGGAATGGTAAGCAGATTGGGGACCTTTGGATTGAAGAAGAGATGTTCTGTGTAATCACATCTATTAGACATATTCTTTAGAGTCTAAAATTGCAGTTCCCATTCTTTGATAGACTATATATCTATTTTGTTTGGTTACTGTCCGTCTCTCTCAGTGGAATATAAGCTCCATGAAGGCAGAGACTTTACTTTTGTTCTCTGTTGTATCCTCCATGTTTGGCACCTAATTTATGAACGATTTCTATAACAAATGAGCTAAGAAGAAAGAGTGAAAGTATGAGAAGGGAAATTTTGTGTGTCAACACAAAGACATCTAAATATGAATATTGACTGGCTGGGTGATCTTCCGCAGAAAGTGTCACCTTCTCTTGATGATGAAAAGATACATCAGAAGTGTTGGCCACTAGAGTTGTATCCAGCCTTGTGGTTCTAAAGATAAGTCTCCTTTTGCAACAGAGGGAACCCTGGACACATGGTAGAGAAAGGAAATAAATGACTTGACAACTAACTGAACTTGGGAAATGGGGAAATGGGGGGTGGAGTCAGAGATGTTGTTGAGCCTCTTAGCTTGGAGCTATTGGTGCCAATGAAAGGAAAACAGGATTTCAATACAAATGTTGTTTCACAGTCAAACTTTAGACAACAATTAGAAATTCCAATTCAATGTGTCAGTGGACTACACAGGAGACATCCAGAAGGTAATTATAGACAGACAGATGTGGAGCTCAGGAGAGGCTGAGCCATGTCACACTCATTTGTTAGACTAACCCACACCCCCCTCTACAGGAAGGTACTTGATGATAATGCTTAAAATTCGTTCATGCCTATCATCTCAACACTTTGGAAATCTGAGGTGAGAGGATCGTTTGAGGCCAGGAGTTCAAGATCAGCTTGGGAAACAAAGTGAGACTCTGTCTCAAACAAACAAACAAATAAAAACCATAAAAGGTACCATAGGTGAATAGCCCATTTAGCAACACAATTTTATTTAATTAAGTAGAACATAGATATTATACCTCCATTTCAATTGAGAAAATAGCTGCCCAGAGTGATTTCATTGCTTACAAGGGGCAGGGCTCTAACTTGAATCCCTGTCTTAACAATCTGTCTCTGAAGTTCTTTTCTCCAGCATCCTACTTCAGTGAGATGTGAGACATCAGAATGAGGCTCCTCCTTCCATGGGACTGATTAACTGGCTGTTCATTAGCAGAGAGGGTCCAGCACTTGTCCTTGTCTCAACTGTGGATGGCCCCCCAACCCCAATTTCAGTTCCAGTGCTTGCCACCTGCTACCAGGAAGCCTCACAATGAAACTGCAAGTTAATGACGGTTGCACCAGCCAAACTTTCTTGGATGGGCTGGTACAACTCGCTCCCCATACAAGGCTATCAAAACAATGGTCTTTTTTTTTTCCCTTCTGTGATGTTCACTCTGAGGGCAGCCTATGGGTAGTTGAGTGCAGTGGCTTGGGATCTGGGAGAAAATGAGCTCAATGGGGATCCGTGAATAAGCTGTTAAAGCCAAATGAAAATGAGAAATGGAGGGAATTTGGGGAGGTAGATGAAGAAGGCATTAGGGAGCATTGAGAGAGCATGGAGTGCATACTGTCCGACTGTGGTTTCAGGAAAGGGAGCATTTGCCCAGCTGCAGCATTACAGCATCCCTTGTTTTTTACACTGGATTTACTCCAGCAGGCAGGAAGTATGGAAGAGACCACAGGAAAGCTGTTGTGTGAGTGTTGGGGGCTGGTGAACTAGGACTGTTTTGGGAAAGTAATTTTCTGTTTCAAATAGCTGCCTGCAGCACCTGCTATAATTCCAGAGTTTTGTGGGAAAGCTTTTATTTGCTGTACAAGAAAGGCTGGGTAGTATATTCTTAGCACCCACAGAACGTAGAGTTTGGGTCAAGTTTTACTTAAGAGGTCTGTGCTTTGCCTTGGAAAGCTGAAGGAATATGGATTCAAAGGCTTTTGGTATTTTTTTCATTTGCAATTTTTGGAACCAAAATTCAGCACTACTGGATTAAGGCATGTTCTATCAAACTTAAAATCAAAAGCTTTCCTATGGGGAAAGTCTCAATGTTATAGCTGAAAGAGGTGACATCCGCATTACTGCCATCAAAAATAATTTATTAACCGTGTCTGTGCAAAGTACTCTGGTAGGCACCAAACCCCAGGGGCTTCCTGTTTCAATGCATCCTCTGCTCTCTGCAGTCTTTTCAGCATACCGTTCGGCTCTCCACCTGTGAATAAAATGGATACATTGAAAACTTCATCTCTGCAGAGATGATTACAGGACAAGAAATGCCGGCTCCATAGTCCACATCAATGAGACAGTGCTGGGGAGTTGTATTTGGAAACTGCCATTCTCAACCGCTTATTCTTGGAGCTTGTAATTAAAACACCCTCTCTTCGGTTTTCACTTTAGACCAAGAAATCTGGGGAAGGTTTTGCACCATCATCATATGCCATGTTAGCACTGGCTCTTTAACCCTTCCCCCAAGCAGGTACCACACTGCACCTGAGACATAGGTACACAGGTGCCTCCCTAAGCAAAGGAAGAAACGGGCAAGAGAATTTGGGATAGTAATCCATATCGTTTTACATTTACCCCTCACAAGCAATTGCCTTGTGACGTGTGTACCTGTGCGTACATCTACATTTAAAGACAATACTTTTTTGAAAAGGTAAGTTATCAGAAATGGATTGGAGATATCTGACGGGTTCAATTCCACAAAGGTCGTCTGCCTCACCAGCATCTCTCAGGGACTGAGAGGCAAAGGTGGCTCTCCATCCCGTGGCACCGCCATCAGGCAGGGGAGCGCACAGGCACCCTCCCACCCGCATCCGCCCCCGCCGCCTCCCCCTCGCCCAGCAGCGTCAATCTCTGACCCCACTGGATCCGCACAGGAGACCGACTCACACTTGGTCCGGAGCTGCTTTTGCCACCACCCCCCCCCCCCAAACGGGGGTTTGCTTGGATCATTTATTTATCTTGTGCGCATTAAGGAACCACCATTAGGTGCTGGTGGGAGGCGCTACTCTGCCCGAATCCCAGCCCGCCGCGGCGGCTCCGCACACACACCCGCACCCACCCGCCTGGAGCCGCCTTCTGCCCGGGGTCCGCGTCCCCCGGGACGACCCCCGACGCGGTCTCCCGCTGTCGCTCTCCACTCGCCCCGGCAGGGCGCCGGGGTGTGATTTCGAATCCTCCGGCTGCTCGTCGGG